AAAAAATTTTAATGAAGATATTTATCTTAATTATGAAAATATACTAGCATGTTTTTTAATTTTTGGAACCTAACCCTCCTTTTCGTATTAGTTCTTTGTTTCGTATAACACGGATTCGCATAACACGGCAATTTTTTGGAACGTAACTACCGTGTTATACGGGGGTTACCTGTAATTTAAATAATTATAATTTAAGTATGATCTTCTATCTCAATGTGTTAAAATATAAATTTTGAAAAAACTCTATAAAAAGTTAAATAATATATTATGTATAACTGGTAAAATTGTTTTATTTATTTTCTTTCATAATTAACATATTTTTATTTATTTAATGAGTTAAGTTATTAACTTATTATGTTAGGATGTACAGTACTGTACAAATAACACATATTCACACGTCTTTCTCTAAACTAGCATAATTATCATATTATTATATTTTGTGGCTGAAAATTAATTAACCATTTTAAAATGAGCCTTATATTTAAATTAGTTAAACAAGGCTCATTTGTTTACTTTTATATTTACAGAATTACGTATTGAGGCGGAGCATTAGCGAAGCCTTGTCTATGATCATGGCTTATAGAATTGTGTTCATTCTCAAAATCTGTTCGATCGGTTTTGATTAAGTTTTGTTACTTTCTATTAATTGAGACGAGGAATAAAAAATGAAATAAAAAATGGGGACCATGACTTCGTTTTCGAGATTAAGCGAGACGAGCGAGCGCGACAAAGCGATATAACACTAATCACGGTCGCTAGCACTTCCATGGGCTTCGCTATAGAGTCGAGTTCATTTTCGAAATTTAATGAGCCGATTTCGATTAAACTTTGCCATTTTCTATTAATTTCAATGAGGAATCCAGAAATGTAATCAGTGTCCATTTAATTGTAAAAATAGGAATTGAGGAGTTTTCGATATTCAGAGGGGTTAAACTGACAATGTCCGTGCTTTCTGATGCGACTGAGTCAGTCTAACGGAATTCAGGCTTAGGGTTAAAAAATAAAAACATCTTTGCGTGCGCCTAACGGAAAATAGGAGCTAGAAACAAACAAAACACAAGAACAATCAATGAAGCAATCAATGAGGATTGCTTTGTTCTTGGATAGCCTCTCCGCGTCGGCAGATACTGTACAAGGATCGTCTCTTTTGTGGTGGCAGGTGCAGGGATCGCTTTTTTATTTCCGGCTCTCCTCAATTCTATCGCGATACGACAAAGTCGCGTGATGTCCTAGTAATTTATTACAAAGATATATATTTTATATTTGCCTGATTTGTTTTCTTTAATGTTAAGCATCATCTCAATAAATTTATTATTTAAATCATTAGAATAGGAGAAAAATTTATTTTTTTAATATTTAAATTTGAATATATTTTATTTTCTAATTTTATTTTCGAATATTTAAATTTGAAGCGTTTCGAAAGAAGATCGGTTCTTTAAATAGGAACAAAGAAACCGATATAAATATAGAAGCAATCGACTGTGCTAATCACGAAGACATAGTGAGCGAAATTATAAGACAAGAGCCAGAACGGGGGCATTGGTCTGGAAGATTCGACTTTCTATTAGCATGTTTAGGCACTGCTGTTGGATTAGGAAATGTATGGAGATTTCCATTCTTATGCTACAGTAACGGAGGAGGTAAAACAAAATAGTTCTTTTTTAATGTTTTAAATATAAAAGTTGAAGCAGCCTATTTCAAATTTATATATATTTTTTAAATATTTAGGCGCCTTTCTAATTCCTTATGTTATCATGACGTTCGTAATTGGAATGCCTGTATTTCTAGTGGAACTGACATTAGGCCAGTTCAGTGCAATAGGCCCTCTAAAAATTTTCAAATATTTATCCCCGGCATTTAAAGGTCAGTATATATTCGAATATTTTAAATATTTCATAGAAAAATAAATTTTAATAATAATTATTTGAAATTCTTAGGATTGGGATATGCCATAATAATTGCATCGACTTTTGTTTGCATATATTATAATGTAATTATCTCGTGGACTATTTTCTATTTTTTCGATTCTGCTCGAAGCGTTGTTAACTGGCAATTTTGTGATCATTCTTTCAATACCGAAGGTAATATTTTCAAGTAGAAATTTTATAAATACTGTATATTGTATTAAAGAATAAAAGATTTTTACAAATTATAATTGATTACATATTTTTTATTAGTAATAAAAATTAATAATTAATTTAATTTTGTATGTAGCATGTTTCAGAGAAGCTGATTATAGTGCTTGCAAAATGCAAAATTCTTCTCATGTGTTTTTTAATCGAACTTGTTATAATTCAACTTACGCCATTTCCAATAACATAACTGAAATTCCTGCGGCAAATAGAATTTCACCCGCTCAAGAATATTTCAAGTGAGTAAGGTTTAAAATTGATTACCCTAAAGCTTTGTTTAAAGCTAATAAATAACAGAAACTTAAAGTTATATAGATCAAACCAAAATATAATTTCAAGATAATTTAAATTGTTTCGTACTGTCGATAATTTTAAATTTAGAGCTTTAAAGAAGGTAATTGATATCAGATTTAGATACAGCAAAGATACAGTTAAGCGGTTAAATCTTTTAATAGATTTAGATACAGCAAAGATACAGTTAAGCGGTTAAATCTTTTAATATTATCATCAGACACTGATGTTCTAAAGTATTGCACACCTGCTGAGTTTATATGAATCAGCAGTATATTAACAATGTAGATGTAAACTATAATTCGAATAATGTATTAGCTGTAAGTAGTGATAAATATAAGAAAAATAAGAGCTTTAAAGTTTGATTTACTGGAATTTATAAGAAGTCTTATACTGGTATGCCATATTCAATATAATGCTTGGAAATATAGAAATCTGTTTTGAGAATGTTCGAAGAAGAGTTAATAAACAAAAAGAATTTATACAAAATATTTATAAAATGAGATACGAACACATCAATGTAACATATAATATATTCATTAATATTTTATGACTTCATTTTTTGTCTTTAATAATATCCCGTATTCTCTCTAACATGCTGTCAATCAGATTTTGAATAACGTCATGACTAATCCAAACAATCACTTCTTTTAGCTTCCATTCTAAATGAAAACAGTTCTAGTCTCTTCCAGCAGTAATATTTTATTTGTTTTATTTTTATTTGTTTGACGACGACTGCTCATTACATACAGCAATATTATTATTTCTGGACTGCCGACTGATTCTCTGATTAAATTAATATTAACTGGCAAGGGCTTGCTCGACCTAATGAATTTAAGGGAATGAAAGTAAATAATATCTTTTTACTTTTTCCAAGTGTTATAGATGAGAATTTTATTGTTTGCGTTTTCATAACCATAAAATATGGAAATTTTATATTTATGAAACGTGAGATTTATTTAAGCAACAATCTGCGAATCAATAATTTATCAAATCTGTGAAAAAACCTTGATTTAAATATAATTTTCAACGCATTATTGGCTTTAAGTGTACTGTAACAACATTGAATTTCCTGAAAGTGCATTAGACCATAAAACGTGTTGATTTAACTGACAGTTCTCAAAATTTTAAATCATTATTTTATAAATAGTTCGATTTATTAAAGTTCGATAAGCATTTAACTTACCATTAAAAAACACCAGATGTTTAATACAGTTACGCATATTTAGGTAATCTGTAATATTGTCATGAAACACATTTTATTCTCAAACATAGTTGCAATCTTTTATTTTAACCGTTGCTTATTTTAAAATAAATTAACTATTTGAAAAATGACAATTATGATTGCTACATTTTAGTTTTACTTAAGTGTAGATTGTATATAAATTGTGCAATTTTATCAATTAATTATGCAATGTTTATATTTTTCTCAAAAGTGCTTTTGATTATTTTTTCGTCATATATTGTTTGCAAAGGAATTGTGTGAATTTTGACATCAAAAACGAATTTGATTGACTTCAAAATTAAACTGAATATCTTCAGATTATATGTACAGTACAGTCCAGTATATATATAAAATATAATATTTTCAGAAATAATTTTTCCCAGTTATCAGAAATAATAAAATAATGTATTTCCATATAAATAGGAAATTCGTAGAAAATGACAAAATTAAAATTATGAAACATTTTAATCGTAAATTAAGCGTATCAGTCTTAATTAAACATTAATAAGTTTCGCAATGATAACTTTTTGGATAATCAGCTTAAGACTTATCTGGCATAATTTACAACATTAAAACATTACATCTGTAATATTCTTGTTACCCCACCCGCAATTATTCCCTTAATTTCTAGAATTTTATATTACAACTTACATTTTTAAGTTACAAAATTTGAAAAATTAATTACTCCAAAATTTTTTTTATGAACCTTTGAAAACATACAACACATTTTTCTACTTTTGTTTTAAAATATTTTATAATTTTTTTGTAGGTAATATTTAGAAGGCGTAAATCCTTTTTAAGCGAATGTTTTATTTGATAATTTTTATGCATTGTACGAAAACATAAAAAAATAATTTATTTAAATAGTTTAATTTTTTGTTTTTAGTTTTTACGTTTTGAATATATCATCTGGAATCGAAGATATTGGATCTATAGAATGGAAGATCGCTTTATGTCTTTTAGTATCGTGGATAGTTGTTGTGATCTCATTAATTAAAGGAATTAAATCATCAGGAAAAGTATTAAAAATTCTATTTTAATTTACAATTTGCAAATTAAAGAGAAATATTTTCTAATTATTAAATATTTTCATAGGTTGTTTATTTCACAGCTACATTTCCTTATGTTATCCTCTTTATATTATTCATTCGAGGAGTAACATTAGAAGGAGCTACTGAAGGGCTCAAATTTTATTTGATACCCGATTTTTCAAAACTATCTGATATAAAGGTAATTTAAAAACCTTTATTTATTGTACTGTAAAGGATAATTTATCATATGATAATTTTATTGTTATTTTAAGGTTTGGGAAGCTGCAGCCATTCAAGTATTCTATTCATTCAGTATTGGAGGAGGCGGAATGTTAACTTATGCCAGTTACAATCGTTTCAAAAATAATTTAATTAAGTAAGTTAACCTAATTTATTATTATTTATTGTTGTTTGAAGAAGCTTGTTATTTATGCTTGATTTTTAAAGATTATTATTATTTTATTTATTATTTAAAGAGATGTCCTGATAATCGGAATAGCCGATATGTATTAAAGAATAAAAGATTTTTACAAATTATAATTGATTACATATTTTTTATTAGTAATAAAAATTAATAATTAATTTAATTTTGTATGTAGCATGTTTCAGAGAAGCTGATTATAGTGCTTGCAAAATGCAAAATTCTTCTCATGTGTTTTTTAATCGAACTTGTTATAATTCAACTTACGCCATTTCCAATAACATAACTGAAATTCCTGCGGCAAATAGAATTTCACCCGCTCAAGAATATTTCAAGTGAGTAAGGTTTAAAATTGATTACCCTAAAGCTTTGTTTAAAGCTAATAAATAACAGAAACTTAAAGTTATATAGATCAAACCAAAATATAATTTCAAGATAATTTAAATTGTTTCGTACTGTCGATAATTTTAAATTTAGAGCTTTAAAGAAGGTAATTGATATCAGATTTAGATACAGCAAAGATACAGTTAAGCGGTTAAATCTTTTAATAGATTTAGATACAGCAAAGATACAGTTAAGCGGTTAAATCTTTTAATAGATTTAGATACAGCAAAGATACAGTTAAGCGGTTAAATCTTTTAATATTATCATCAGACACTGATGTTCTAAAGTATTGCACACCTGCTGAGTTTATATGAATCAGCAGTATATTAACAATGTAGATGTAAACTATAATTCGAATAATGTATTAGCTGTAAGTAGTGATAAATATAAGAAAAATAAGAGCTTTAAAGTTTGATTTACTGGAATTTATAAGAAGTCTTATACTGGTATGCCATATTCAATATAATGCTTGGAAATATAGAAATCTGTTTTGAGAATGTTCGAAGAAGAGTTAATAAACAAAAAGAATTTATACAAAATATTTATAAAATGAGATACGAACACATCAATGTAACATATAATATATTCATTAATATTTTATGACTTCATTTTTTGTCTTTAATAATATCCCGTATTCTCTCTAACATGCTGTCAATCAGATTTTGAATAACGTCATGACTAATCCAAACAATCACTTCTTTTAGCTTCCATTCTAAATGAAAACAGTTCTAGTCTCTTCCAGCAGTAATATTTTATTTGTTTTATTTTTATTTGTTTGACGACGACTGCTCATTACATACAGCAATATTATTATTTCTGGACTGCCGACTGATTCTCTGATTAAATTAATATTAACTGGCAAGGGCTTGCTCGACCTAATGAATTTAAGGGAATGAAAGTAAATAATATCTTTTTACTTTTTCCAAGTGTTATAGATGAGAATTTTATTGTTTGCGTTTTCATAACCATAAAATATGGAAATTTTATATTTATGAAACGTGAGATTTATTTAAGCAACAATCTGCGAATCAATAATTTATCAAATCTGTGAAAAAACCTTGATTTAAATATAATTTTCAACGCATTATTGGCTTTAAGTGTACTGTAACAACATTGAATTTCCTGAAAGTGCATTAGACCATAAAACGTGTTGATTTAACTGACAGTTCTCAAAATTTTAAATCATTATTTTATAAATAGTTCGATTTATTAAAGTTCGATAAGCATTTAACTTACCATTAAAAAACACCAGATGTTTAATACAGTTACGCATATTTAGGTAATCTGTAATATTGTCATGAAACACATTTTATTCTCAAACATAGTTGCAATCTTTTATTTTAACCGTTGCTTATTTTAAAATAAATTAACTATTTGAAAAATGACAATTATGATTGCTACATTTTAGTTTTACTTAAGTGTAGATTGTATATAAATTGTGCAATTTTATCAATTAATTATGCAATGTTTATATTTTTCTCAAAAGTGCTTTTGATTATTTTTTCGTCATATATTGTTTGCAAAGGAATTGTGTGAATTTTGACATCAAAAACGAATTTGATTGACTTCAAAATTAAACTGAATATCTTCAGATTATATGTACAGTACAGTCCAGTATATATATAAAATATAATATTTTCAGAAATAATTTTTCCCAGTTATCAGAAATAATAAAATAATGTATTTCCATATAAATAGGAAATTCGTAGAAAATGACAAAATTAAAATTATGAAACATTTTAATCGTAAATTAAGCGTATCAGTCTTAATTAAACATTAATAAGTTTCGCAATGATAACTTTTTGGATAATCAGCTTAAGACTTATCTGGCATAATTTACAACATTAAAACATTACATCTGTAATATTCTTGTTACCCCACCCGCAATTATTCCCTTAATTTCTAGAATTTTATATTACAACTTACATTTTTAAGTTACAAAATTTGAAAAATTAATTACTCCAAAATTTTTTTTATGAACCTTTGAAAACATACAACACATTTTTCTACTTTTGTTTTAAAATATTTTATAATTTTTTTGTAGGTAATATTTAGAAGGCGTAAATCCTTTTTAAGCGAATGTTTTATTTGATAATTTTTATGCATTGTACGAAAACATAAAAAAATAATTTATTTAAATAGTTTAATTTTTTGTTTTTAGTTTTTACGTTTTGAATATATCATCTGGAATCGAAGATATTGGATCTATAGAATGGAAGATCGCTTTATGTCTTTTAGTATCGTGGATAGTTGTTGTGATCTCATTAATTAAAGGAATTAAATCATCAGGAAAAGTATTAAAAATTCTATTTTAATTTACAATTTGCAAATTAAAGAGAAATATTTTCTAATTATTAAATATTTTCATAGGTTGTTTATTTCACAGCTACATTTCCTTATGTTATCCTCTTTATATTATTCATTCGAGGAGTAACATTAGAAGGAGCTACTGAAGGGCTCAAATTTTATTTGATACCCGATTTTTCAAAACTATCTGATATAAAGGTAATTTAAAAACCTTTATTTATTGTACTGTAAAGGATAATTTATCATATGATAATTTTATTGTTATTTTAAGGTTTGGGAAGCTGCAGCCATTCAAGTATTCTATTCATTCAGTATTGGAGGAGGCGGAATGTTAACTTATGCCAGTTACAATCGTTTCAAAAATAATTTAATTAAGTAAGTTAACCTAATTTATTATTGTTTATTGTTGTTTNATAAATGAATTTTTTATAACGTATAGAAAAACTATTTAATATTCCTTAGTCGATATTAATAAATATCTAATTTTTAAAAATATCCAAACAGTACGAGACCCCTTAGGTTTCTGGAGCTCCCGCATTGCGGGGTTTTGTGGAACCTATTTACGTAAAAAAAAAAAACTGTACTGGCACTGTACAGTACAGTACGTACTGTACTGTTACATATTGACAATAGATGGTAGTAATGTATACACGCGACGATATTGTCACGGATTGATAACAACGAGTAACAGTGTTATTAATTAAAGAAAATTGTGAAATAGTTTGTTGTCTAATGCTTCATTTAAATTTTTTAATATTTGGGGGGCGACGAAAAAAATGTGACTGGAAAACGGGTTCTCGACATCATAAAGTTCGGAAAACGTTGATATAGATGGCATTAGGCTACATAGTTCAAATTGTTATTCCCAGGAACGTAATCGCAATTTGTGATACTGAGCATATGGAAAATGATGGAGGTTCAACGATGATTTCTCAAAAGAAAAATTTGCTCATAAAAGCAGATATTAGAAAGTTCAATACTGATAAAATTAGATAAAATACAAAAAATAAGGTAGAACCCGATTATTCGAGGTAATATGGACCATTGCTACCTCGGATAATCGAAAACTCAGATAAAAAAATTACAAATAAAAACGATTTGTATGATATCACTTTTAAGTTCTCTTTTTAAGCTTATATCAATATCTTAGTGAATTTTATCATATATTGATAAAATTCACTAATATAATGTAGTCTAATGTTTATAATGATAAAGCCTAATTAATTTTGTAGCCTAATGTCATCCATAGCGAAAAATCCAATTAGGAACATTTAGTTCAATAGTTATCGGTACTTTTGGCACAAAAAATTGGGTGTAGTTATGATACCTTGTTTACAATTCACTATAATGAAAACGGGGTTCCATAATACCACCTTCTTCTCTATTATTATAGAATAACAGTTTTTGCATCATTTATTATATAAAGCTAATGCGTACTGTACAATCAGAACGAAAATATGTAGACTATTATTGTAGTTACATTTTAATGTGATTTGTCTTATAATGAAGCTAAAGGATAAAAGGTAACAGAAACAAATTATTTTGTAATAATACTACAGTTTAAAACTTTCTTCTATAAGGCCCGTCAGCGGCCAAGCGGTCTTTGTTCCCTGAACACTAAGAGTTCGATCCTGGGTTCGCGCCTCGATTGGACGGGATGGCTTTCCGGGTTTTCTCCACGTCTGTAACGCCTAAATAGGGGCCAGTTTCCCTTAAAAAAGGCATCCCCTATGTAGATCGTCCAAGTGTTGTGTTGCCATAACTTAAAACAAAAAACTTTTATGAAAAGTGGTATATTTGTTAGGCTTAAACACCGAAAACGCTCACTGAGCGAAAAAATCGACCACAACGCATTCTGACTTATCAGATTTTCACGAATTTCGTGTCGTGGCACTTTCAAAACTGTGCACAACGCGTTTTTGTATTCAATAAGACCACAAAACAAGATTCGTGTCGAGATTCTTTTAGTAATCAACCAAAACGCGATCTAACAATGTGGAAATGCTACGTGTTGTGGACGCTTATTAATGCAGCCATGACGCGATGTGATAAAAATATCTGCGCAAAAAAAAGTATAAAAAATTTATAAACAAAACTATTAACAGCAAACTGTACTGTCTTCGTGACTGTGAAGAAAATGAAGAGTTGCGCATATTATACATTGGTTCTTTTAATGATATAACGTTTTGTGATAGGAAATTTTACTTGAGTATTTTTCTAATAATAAACATTGTTCAGAATGGTCCTTTAGTGGAAATTAGATTTAAATTATTTTTATTATTTTTCAAGAACTATTGTAACATTTGGAATTGCACTTTATGTTTTTGGAGACATGTGCACTTTTTGTTAATGAAGTATCTTTTACATTCGCAGCTTATATGTTGCTTGCCTCCACATGACAACATAGAGGCCGAACGAAGAGTTAGCGAAGTCGAGAGCACATCTTGCGGTTCAATAAAGTTACTATCAGCAACTATAAATTTATTGCAAAAATAAACGTCAGGGAATGCAATACTATCTCCAATAACAAGTTCAGAAAATTTTGAATAAGAAAATGAAATCATTTCTTGTGTTTGTTCTTCTTGACCAAGTTTAGCACACACTCTCTCAACTCTAACGTTGCTCTTCGTTATACTGTATAATTCTCAATATAGACTAGAATTTGATTTTATTCTAAATAATAAAAAAATTTGTTACTTATTTTTGCACAGATATTTTTATTACATTGCGTCGTGGCTATATTAATAGGCGTCCACAACGCGTGTAGCATTTCCACATTGTTAGATCGCGTTTTGGTTGATTACTAAAAGACTCGACACGAATTTCGTTTTGTGGTCTTATTGAATACTTTTCCAAAACCCGTTGTGCGTATTTTTGAAAGTGCTACCACGACACGAAATTTGCGTTGTTGCTGGATCTGAGAAATCAGAATGCATTGTGGTAGATTTTTTCGCTCAATGAGCATTTTTGATCTTTGAACCTAACATAGGCCTACTCAGCTTTGCCTTGGATAATCCGGGCTCGGATAATTGGAATTGTGCTGAAAGTCACTTGTAAAGCTATCCAATAAAACCAAATTTAAATTTTCTATTTAGACATAAGATCAAAACCGTCACGAAATCTGACAGTTTAAAAAGAAAAAGTTTAGGACATAAGAAAATCATGTAATGTAACATTCATGTTCTAGTAGAGAGCGTCCAAATTGTATAATGCAAATTTTCTCATTTTTTTTTTCATAATTTTGTTCGGTTAAATCAATAAATAAGTCAATAAATCAATAAATAAGTCAAATTGTTTAGTTGTTAAATAAGAAAATGGTAATCTTGTAACTTGTTTTCCTGTAACGCATAAATTTATAAATTCAAATATTATAAATTAATATATTGAAATGTGTCATGTTTATATTGTAATACAGCAAAATCATTAAAAAAAACCAATTGTAATTCGTAGCATTGAGGCTTATCAAATACACATCTATTCAAAATTTAAGGGATAAACGACATTTACATATTACACCTGTAAATATGGAATATATTCACCTCGAACTACGATGCAGAACTCACAATGTCGTGGCAGGTTCGTCACCGACTAGCTTAGAACCTGCCACGATATTGTGTTCGTCTTTAAGATTTGGACACGTGTGTAGATTATAGCTTAATTGAATTTGCTACTGTTCCTGCGTTTTTGAATTGTATTTGCTCTAATTTCTCAAGTAGTTTAGAAATATAAAAAACTTCAGAAATTTACATATATAAATTTATATTTATTTATTAAGTATTAAAATAACTTCTTAAATCATTCTATTGTTTAGTAAATGATTTAAATTTGTTCCGAGAACTTAAAGATTTTAGAAGTCAGAATAGTTAAAAATAATTTATATTTTCGAGTATAATCGAGGTTCCAAAATTTCTTGATTGTATATAAATTTAGTAGTTATATAAATTTTGATTAAATTATAACATTTTTATGAATGATTATGAAATGAATGTGAAATGATATGAGATTATGATGTGCTAATGATATGATAATACAGGTAACCCCCGTATAACACGGCACTTCTATAGCACGGATTCGCTCTAACACGGTTCGAGAATTGGTACCATCTCCCGTACAACACGGTACTTTTATAGCACGGATTCACTCTGACACGGTTCGAGAATTGGGTAAAACCCTCGAACAACAGGAACTGTAATAAATTTTTACATACTTAAGTAATAATAGTTCACGAAAATTATTATTTTCGTGAACTATTAGTACTTAAGTACGTAAATTTTCTCTTCTCGCCTTCTGTCGATACACGTGGTCCTTCTCGAAACTTGTTTCAATGTTGCCAGATCGCGACGCTTCTGCTTCTGATGTTGCCGAATGTTTTTCCCTTATTCCATACTTGCTTTATTCTTCATAAGTGCTTAGCACCATATAAGGAAATTTATAAAGACCTTTTAACTAGAAGCAAGCAATCTAAAATTACATACATTTTGCAAAAGGTAAAGCATGGATCTGAAGATAATGCAGAAAAATGCTCAGAGGATAAGGATAACTTGCCAAAAAGAAAACGCTCTCGGTTAATTAATAGTGTTTTTAGTGATGACGAAGAAAACATTGTTTAATTTATATTAATATGTATCACTTTAAAAAATTTTAATGAAGATATTTATCTTAATTATGAAAATATACTAGCATGTTTTTTAATTTTTGGAACCTAACCCTCCTTTTCGTATTAGTTCTTTGTTTCGTATAACACGGATTCGCATAACACGGCAATTTTTTGGAACGTAACTACCGTGTTATACGGGGGTTACCTGTAATTTAAATAATTATAATTTAAGTATGATCTTCTATCTCAATGTGTTAAAATATAAATTTTGAAAAAACTCTATAAAAAGTTAAATAATATATTATGTATAACTGGTAAAATTGTTTTATTTATTTTCTTTCATAATTAACATATTTTTATTTATTTAATGAGTTAAGTTATTAACTTATTATGTTAGGATGTACAGTACTGTACAAATAACACATATTCACACGTCTTTCTCTAAACTAGCATAATTATCATATTATTATATTTTGTGGCTGAAAATTAATTAACCATTTTAAAATGAGCCTTATATTTAAATTAGTTAAACAAGGCTCATTTGTTTACTTTTATATTTACAGAATTACGTATTGAGGCGGAGCATTAGCGAAGCCTTGTCTATGATCATGGCTTATAGAATTGTGTTCATTCTCAAAATCTGTTCGATCGGTTTTGATTAAGCTTTGTTACTTTCTACTAATTGAGACGAGGAATAAAAAATGAAATAAAAAATGGGGACCATGACTTCGTTTTCGAGATTAAGCGAGACGAGCGAGCGCGACAAAGCGATATAACACTAATCACGGTCGCTAGCACTTCCATGGGCTTCGCTATAGAGTCGAGTTCATTTTCGAAATTTAATGAGCCGATTTCGATTAAACTTTGCCATTTTCTATTAATTTCAATGAGGAATCCAGAAATGTAATCAGTGTCCATTTAATTGTAAAAATAGGAATTGAGGAGTTTTCGATATTCAGAGGGGTTAAACTGACAATGTCCGTGCTTTCTGATGCGACTGAGTCAGTCTAACGGAATTCAGGCTTAGGGTTAAAAAATAAAAACATCTTTGCGTGCGCCTAACGGAAAATAGGAGCTAGAAACAAACAAAACACAAGAACAATCAATGAAGCAATCAATGAGGATTGCTTTGTTCTTGGATAGCCTCTCCGCGTCGGCAGATACTGTACAAGGATCGTCTCTTTTGTGGTGGCAGGTGCAGGGATCGCTTTTTTATTTCCGGCTCTCCTCAATTCTATCGCGATACGACAAAGTCGCGTGATGTCCTAGTAATTTATTACAAAGATATATATTTTATATTTGCCTGATTTGTTTTCTTTAATGTTAAGCATCATCTCAATAAATTTATTATTTAAATCATTAGAATAGGAGAAAAATTTATTTTTTTAATATTTAAATTTGAATATATTTTATTTTCTAATTTTATTTTCGAATATTTAAATTTGAAGCGTTTCGAAAGAAGATCGGTTCTTTAAATAGGAACAAAGAAACCGATATAAATATAGAAGCAATCGACTGTGCTAATCACGAAGACATAGTGAGCGAAATTATAAGACAAGAGCCAGAACGGGGGCATTGGTCTGGAAGATTCGACTTTCTATTAGCATGTTTAGGCACTGCTGTTGGATTAGGAAATGTATGGAGATTTCCATTCTTATGCTACAGTAACGGAGGAGGTAAAACAAAATAGTTCTTTTTTAATGTTTTAAATATAAAAGTTGAAGCAGCCTATTTCAAATTTATATATATTTTTTAAATATTTAGGCGCCTTTCTAATTCCTTATGTTATCATGACGTTCGTAATTGGAATGCCTGTATTTCTAGTGGAACTGACATTAGGCCAGTTCAGTGCAATAGGCCCTCTAAAAATTTTCAAATATTTATCCCCGGCATTTAAAGGTCAGTATATATTCGAATATTTTAAATATTTCATAGAAAAATAAATTTTAATAATAATTATTTGAAATTCTTAGGATTGGGATATGCCATAATAATTGCATCGACTTTTGTTTGCATATATTATAATGTAATTATCTCGTGGACTATTTTCTATTTTTTCGATTCTGCTCGAAGCGTTGTTAACTGGCAATTTTGTGATCATTCTTTCAATACCGAAGGTAATATTTTCAAGTAGAAATTTTATAAATACTGTATATTGTATTAAAGAATAAAAGATTTTTACAAATTATAATTGATTACATATTTTTTATTAGTAATAAAAATTAATAATTAATTTAATTTTGTATGTAGCATGTTTCAGAGAAGCTGATTATAGTGCTTGCAAAATGCAAAATTCTTCTCATGTGTTTTTTAATCGAACTTGTTATAATTCAACTTACGCCATTTCCAATAACATAACTGAAATTCCTGCGGCAAATAGAATTTCACCCGCTCAAGAATATTTCAAGTGAGTAAGGTTTAAAATTGATTACCCTAAAGCTTTGTTTAAAGCTAATAAATAACAGAAACTTAAAGTTATATAGATCAAACCAAAATATAATTTCAAGATAATTTAAATTGTTTCGTACTGTCGATAATTTTAAATTTAGAGCTTTAAAGAAGGTAATTGATATCAGATTTAGATACAGCAAAGATACAGTTAAGCGGTTAAATCTTTTAATAGATTTAGATACAGCAAAGATACAGTTAAGCGGTTAAATCTTTTAATATTATCATCAGACACTGATGTTCTAAAGTATTGCACACCTGCTGAGTTTATATGAATCAGCAGTATATTAACAATGTAGATGTAAACTATAATTCGAATAATGTATTAGCTGTAAGTAGTGATAAATATAAGAAAAATAAGAGCTTTAAAGTTTGATTTACTGGAATTTATAAGAAGTCTTATACTGGTATGCCATATTCAATATAATGCTTGGAAATATAGAAATCTGTTTTGAGAATGTTCGAAGAAGAGTTAATAAACAAAAAGAATTTATACAAAATATTTATAAAATGAGATACGAACACATCAATGTAACATATAATATATTCATTAATATTTTATGACTTCATTTTTTGTCTTTAATAATATCCCGTATTCTCTCTAACATGCTGTCAATCAGATTTTGAATAACGTCATGACTAATCCAAACAATCACTTCTTTTAGCTTCCATTCTAAATGAAAACAGTTCTAGTCTCTTCCAGCAGTAATATTTTATTTGTTTTATTTTTATTTGTTTGACGACGACTGCTCATTACATACAGCAATATTATTATTTCTGGACTGCCGACTGATTCTCTGATTAAATTAATATTAACTGGCAAGGGCTTGCTCGACCTAATGAATTTAAGGGAATGAAAGTAAATAATATCTTTTTACTTTTTCCAAGTGTTATAGATGAGAATTTTATTGTTTGCGTTTTCATAACCATAAAATATGGAAATTTTATATTTATGAAACGTGAGATTTATTTAAGCAACAATCTGCGAATCAATAATTTATCAAATCTGTGAAAAAACCTTGATTTAAATATAATTTTCAACGCATTATTGGCTTTAAGTGTACTGTAACAACATTGAATTTCCTGAAAGTGCATTAGACCATAAAACGTGTTGATTTAACTGACAGTTCTCAAAATTTTAAATCATTATTTTATAAATAGTTCGATTTATTAAAGTTCGATAAGCATTTAACTTACCATTAAAAAACACCAGATGTTTAATACAGTTACGCATATTTAGGTAATCTGTAATATTGTCATGAAACACATTTTATTCTCAAACATAGTTGCAATCTTTTATTTTAACCGTTGCTTATTTTAAAATAAATTAACTATTTGAAAAATGACAATTATGATTGCTACATTTTAGTTTTACTTAAGTGTAGATTGTATATAAATTGTGCAATTTTATCAATTAATTATGCAATGTTTATATTTTTCTCAAAAGTGCTTTTGATTATTTTTTCGTCATATATTGTTTGCAAAGGAATTGTGTGAATTTTGACATCAAAAACGAATTTGATTGACTTCAAAATTAAACTGAATATCTTCAGATTATATGTACAGTACAGTCCAGTATATATATAAAATATAATATTTTCAGAAATAATTTTTCCCAGTTATCAGAAATAATAAAATAATGTATTTCCATATAAATAGGAAATTCGTAGAAAATGACAAAATTAAAATTATGAAACATTTTAATCGTAAATTAAGCGTATCAGTCTTAATTAAACATTAATAAGTTTCGCAATGATAACTTTTTGGATAATCAGCTTAAGACTTATCTGGCATAATTTACAACATTAAAACATTACATCTGTAATATTCTTGTTACCCCACCCGCAATTATTCCCTTAATTTCTAGAATTTTATATTACAACTTACATTTTTAAGTTACAAAATTTGAAAAATTAATTACTCCAAAATTTTTTTTATGAACCTTTGAAAACATACAACACATTTTTCTACTTTTGTTTTAAAATATTTTATAATTTTTTTGTAGGTAATATTTAGAAGGCGTAAATCCTTTTTAAGCGAATGTTTTATTTGATAATTTTTATGCATTGTACGAAAACATAAAAAAATAATTTATTTAAATAGTTTAATTTTTTGTTTTTAGTTTTTACGTTTTGAATATATCATCTGGAATCGAAGATATTGGATCTATAGAATGGAAGATCGCTTTATGTCTTTTAGTATCGTGGATAGTTGTTGTGATCTCATTAATTAAAGGAATTAAATCATCAGGAAAAGTATTAAAAATTCTATTTTAATTTACAATTTGCAAATTAAAGAGAAATATTTTCTAATTATTAAATATTTTCATAGGTTGTTTATTTCACAGCTACATTTCCTTATGTTATCCTCTTTATATTATTCATTCGAGGAGTAACATTAGAAGGAGCTACTGAAGGGCTCAAATTTTATTTGATACCCGATTTTTCAAAACTATCTGATATAAAGGTAATTTAAAAACCTTTATTTATTGTACTGTAAAGGATAATTTATCATATGATAATTTTATTGTTATTTTAAGGTTTGGGAAGCTGCAGCCATTCAAGTATTCTATTCATTCAGTATTGGAGGAGGCGGAATGTTAACTTATGCCAGTTACAATCGTTTCAAAAATAATTTAATTAAGTAAGTTAACCTAATTTATTATTATTTATTGTTGTTTGAAGAAGCTTGTTATTTATGCTTGATTTTTAAAGATTATTATTATTTTATTTATTATTTAAAGAGATGTCCTGATAATCGGAATAGCCGATATGTTAACCAGTATTTTTAGTGGATTGGTCGTCTTTTCAATGTTAGGTTATACTGCTAATCAACTTCAAAAAAACGTTTCAGATGTTGTGAAATCCGGTAATTAAATATTGGTTTAAATCTTATTTTTTTATTTATATTTCTACATTAATGTTACTTTTATGTGTGAACAGATAATGGGCTTGCATTCATTGCTTATCCAGAAGGAATTTCCAAAATGCCAGGATCGGTATTTTGGGCTCTTTTGTTCTTCTTTATGCTGTTTTTGCTGGGCATCGATAGTCAGGTTAGTCTAATTAAATAGTCCAATCATGGAATATTTTAATTTTTAATATGCTTAAACGTTAGGTTATTAAAGTTATATTAAAAATAAGAATTTTATGGATAAATTTTTATTCAAAAATTGATTTTTACGCTTAGATTATTTATTAAATTATTTTAAAGTATCTTAATCGAAAAGAATCTTTAAAAGTAAAATGTTTATAAAATATCGTTATAGAATTTTAATCAACTTTATAAAGGAATATAATGTATAGGCCTCGCTTTACGACCTCTAACTTTACACTTCTCCGCTTTTACTCTAATATATTGATAAATTTTTTATTTAATTGTATGAAACACCATTTTTAAGTATCTTTTTGACAACTTGATTTATTGAATTATAAATGTAATTTAGGATACTAAACCGTCTATGAAAAATACCATGCCTCGCTTAACCACAATTTTCCAGAAACCAATTAAGTCGTAAAAGCGAGGATCGTAATTTAATACAAAATAATTGTACTTTAACTTATAACTTATTTACTATTTAGTAAAATAAATAATTTATAAAAATAATAAATTAAAATTTAGGTAGACTATATTAAAGTGATTATGTTTAATTTTAGTTTTCTATGGTGGAATCTCTCATAACTGCAGTGTTTGATCAGTTTCCAAAAACTCGAGATAAGAAACCTCTTGTTGTCATTTCTATTGGAATTATTTTATTTTTTCTAGGATTGCCTTTAACAACAAGAGTAAGTAGTTATTTACATGTAATATATTTTAAAATGTTAAAAAATTATAAATAATTATATTAATATATTTCAATAATTTTAGGGTGGTATTTATATTTTGGAAATAATGGATGCATATGCCGCAGGGTGGCCATATTTATTTATTGGTTTAGTAGAATGTATCATAGTAGGTTACATATATGGTAAGAGTATANTTTTCTCATTTTTTTTTTCATAATTTTGTTCGGTTAAATCAATAAATAAGTCAATAAATCAATAAATAAGTCAAATTGTTTAGTTGTTAAATAAGAAAATGGTAATCTTGTAACTTGTTTTCCTGTAACGCATAAATTTATAAATTCAAATATTATAAATTAATATATTGAAATGTGTCATGTTTATATTGTAATACAGCAAAATCATTAAAAAAAACCAATTGTAATTCGTAGCATTGAGGCTTATCAAATACACATCTATTCAAAATTTAAGGGATAAACGACATTTACATATTACACCTGTAAATATGGAATATATTCACCTCGAACTACGATGCAGAACTCACAATGTCGTGGCAGGTTCGTCACCGACTAGCTTAGAACCTGCCACGATATTGTGTTCGTCTTTAAGATTTGGACACGTGTGTAGATTATAGCTTAATTGAATTTGCTACTGTTCCTGCGTTTTTGAATTGTATTTGCTCTAATTTCTCAAGTAGTTTAGAAATATAAAAAACTTCAGAAATTTACATATATAAATTTATATTTATTTATTAAGTATTAAAATAACTTCTTAAATCATTCTATTGTTTAGTAAATGATTTAAATTTGTTCCGAGAACTTAAAGATTTTAGAAGTCAGAATAGTTAAAAATAATTTATATTTTCGAGTATAATCGAGGTTCCAAAATTTCTTGATTGTATATAAATTTAGTAGTTATATAAATTTTGATTAAATTATAACATTTTTATGAATGATTATGAAATGAATGTGAAATGATATGAGATTATGATGTGCTAATGATATGATAATACAGGTAACCCCCGTATAACACGGCACTTCTATAGCACGGATTCGCTCTAACACGGTTCGAGAATTGGTACCATCTCCCGTACAACACGGTACTTTTATAGCACGGATTCACTCTGACACGGTTCGAGAATTGGGTAAAACCCTCGAACAACAGGAACTGTAATAAATTTTTACATACTTAAGTAATAATAGTTCACGAAAATTATTATTTTCGTGAACTATTAGTACTTAAGTACGTAAATTTTCTCTTCTCGCCTTCTGTCGATACACGTGGTCCTTCTCGAAACTTGTTTCAATGTTGCCAGATCGCGACGCTTCTGCTTCTGATGTTGCCGAATGTTTTTCCCTTATTCCATACTTGCTTTATTCTTCATAAGTGCTTAGCACCATATAAGGAAATTTATAAAGACCTTTTAACTAGAAGCAAGCAATCTAAAATTACATACATTTTGCAAAAGGTAAAGCATGGATCTGAAGATAATGCAGAAAAATGCTCAGAGGATAAGGATAACTTGCCAAAAAGAAAACGCTCTCGGTTAATTAATAGTGTTTTTAGTGATGACGAAGAAAACATTGTTTAATTTATATTAATATGTATCACTTTAAAAAATTTTAATGAAGATATTTATCTTAATTATGAAAATATACTAGCATGTTTTTTAATTTTTGGAACCTAACCCTCCTTTTCGTATTAGTTCTTTGTTTCGTATAACACGGATTCGCATAACACGGCAATTTTTTGGAACGTAACTACCGTGTTATACGGGGGTTACCTGTAATTTAAATAATTATAATTTAAGTATGATCTTCTATCTCAATGTGTTAAAATATAAATTTTGAAAAAACTCTATAAAAAGTTAAATAATATATTATGTATAACTGGTAAAATTGTTTTATTTATTTTCTTTCATAATTAACATATTTTTATTTATTTAATGAGTTAAGTTATTAACTTATTATGTTAGGATGTACAGTACTGTACAAATAACACATATTCACACGTCTTTCTCTAAACTAGCATAATTATCATATTATTATATTTTGTGGCTGAAAATTAATTAACCATTTTAAAATGAGCCTTATATTTAAATTAGTTAAACAAGGCTCATTTGTTTACTTTTATATTTACAGAATTACGTATTGAGGCGGAGCATTAGCGAAGCCTTGTCTATGATCATGGCTTATAGAATTGTGTTCATTCTCAAAATCTGTTCGATCGGTTTTGATTAAGCTTTGTTACTTTCTACTAATTGAGACGAGGAATAAAAAATGAAATAAAAAATGGGGACCATGACTTCGTTTTCGAGATTAAGCGAGACGAGCGAGCGCGACAAAGCGATATAACACTAATCACGGTCGCTAGCACTTCCATGGGCTTCGCTATAGAGTCGAGTTCATTTTCGAAATTTAATGAGCCGATTTCGATTAAACTTTGCCATTTTCTATTAATTTCAATGAGGAATCCAGAAATGTAATCAGTGTCCATTTAATTGTAAAAATAGGAATTGAGGAGTTTTCGATATTCAGAGGGGTTAAACTGACAATGTCCGTGCTTTCTGATGCGACTGAGTCAGTCTAACGGAATTCAGGCTTAGGGTTAAAAAATAAAAACATCTTTGCGTGCGCCTAACGGAAAATAGGAGCTAGAAACAAACAAAACACAAGAACAATCAATGAAGCAATCAATGAGGATTGCTTTGTTCTTGGATAGCCTCTCCGCGTCGGCAGATACTGTACAAGGATCGTCTCTTTTGTGGTGGCAGGTGCAGGGATCGCTTTTTTATTTCCGGCTCTCCTCAATTCTATCGCGATACGACAAAGTCGCGTGATGTCCTAGTAATTTATTACAAAGATATATATTTTATATTTGCCTGATTTGTTTTCTTTAATGTTAAGCATCATCTCAATAAATTTATTATTTAAATCATTAGAATAGGAGAAAAATTTATTTTTTTAATATTTAAATTTGAATATATTTTATTTTCTAATTTTATTTTCGAATATTTAAATTTGAAGCGTTTCGAAAGAAGATCGGTTCTTTAAATAGGAACAAAGAAACCGATATAAATATAGAAGCAATCGACTGTGCTAATCACGAAGACATAGTGAGCGAAATTATAAGACAAGAGCCAGAACGGGGGCATTGGTCTGGAAGATTCGACTTTCTATTAGCATGTTTAGGCACTGCTGTTGGATTAGGAAATGTATGGAGATTTCCATTCTTATGCTACAGTAACGGAGGAGGTAAAACAAAATAGTTCTTTTTTAATGTTTTAAATATAAAAGTTGAAGCAGCCTATTTCAAATTTATATATATTTTTTAAATATTTAGGCGCCTTTCTAATTCCTTATGTTATCATGACGTTCGTAATTGGAATGCCTGTATTTCTAGTGGAACTGACATTAGGCCAGTTCAGTGCAATAGGCCCTCTAAAAATTTTCAAATATTTATCCCCGGCATTTAAAGGTCAGTATATATTCGAATATTTTAAATATTTCATAGAAAAATAAATTTTAATAATAATTATTTGAAATTCTTAGGATTGGGATATGCCATAATAATTGCATCGACTTTTGTTTGCATATATTATAATGTAATTATCTCGTGGACTATTTTCTATTTTTTCGATTCTGCTCGAAGCGTTGTTAACTGGCAATTTTGTGATCATTCTTTCAATACCGAAGGTAATATTTTCAAGTAGAAATTTTATAAATACTGTATATTGTATTAAAGAATAAAAGATTTTTACAAATTATAATTGATTACATATTTTTTATTAGTAATAAAAATTAATAATTAATTTAATTTTGTATGTAGCATGTTTCAGAGAAGCTGATTATAGTGCTTGCAAAATGCAAAATTCTTCTCATGTGTTTTTTAATCGAACTTGTTATAATTCAACTTACGCCATTTCCAATAACATAACTGAAATTCCTGCGGCAAATAGAATTTCACCCGCTCAAGAATATTTCAAGTGAGTAAGGTTTAAAATTGATTACCCTAAAGCTTTGTTTAAAGCTAATAAATAACAGAAACTTAAAGTTATATAGATCAAACCAAAATATAATTTCAAGATAATTTAAATTGTTTCGTACTGTCGATAATTTTAAATTTAGAGCTTTAAAGAAGGTAATTGATATCAGATTTAGATACAGCAAAGATACAGTTAAGCGGTTAAATCTTTTAATAGATTTAGATACAGCAAAGATACAGTTAAGCGGTTAAATCTTTTAATATTATCATCAGACACTGATGTTCTAAAGTATTGCACACCTGCTGAGTTTATATGAATCAGCAGTATATTAACAATGTAGATGTAAACTATAATTCGAATAATGTATTAGCTGTAAGTAGTGATAAATATAAGAAAAATAAGAGCTTTAAAGTTTGATTTACTGGAATTTATAAGAAGTCTTATACTGGTATGCCATATTCAATATAATGCTTGGAAATATAGAAATCTGTTTTGAGAATGTTCGAAGAAGAGTTAATAAACAAAAAGAATTTATACAAAATATTTATAAAATGAGATACGAACACATCAATGTAACATATAATATATTCATTAATATTTTATGACTTCATTTTTTGTCTTTAATAATATCCCGTATTCTCTCTAACATGCTGTCAATCAGATTTTGAATAACGTCATGACTAATCCAAACAATCACTTCTTTTAGCTTCCATTCTAAATGAAAACAGTTCTAGTCTCTTCCAGCAGTAATATTTTATTTGTTTTATTTTTATTTGTTTGACGACGACTGCTCATTACATACAGCAATATTATTATTTCTGGACTGCCGACTGATTCTCTGATTAAATTAATATTAACTGGCAAGGGCTTGCTCGACCTAATGAATTTAAGGGAATGAAAGTAAATAATATCTTTTTACTTTTTCCAAGTGTTATAGATGAGAATTTTATTGTTTGCGTTTTCATAACCATAAAATATGGAAATTTTATATTTATGAAACGTGAGATTTATTTAAGCAACAATCTGCGAATCAATAATTTATCAAATCTGTGAAAAAACCTTGATTTAAATATAATTTTCAACGCATTATTGGCTTTAAGTGTACTGTAACAACATTGAATTTCCTGAAAGTGCATTAGACCATAAAACGTGTTGATTTAACTGACAGTTCTCAAAATTTTAAATCATTATTTTATAAATAGTTCGATTTATTAAAGTTCGATAAGCATTTAACTTACCATTAAAAAACACCAGATGTTTAATACAGTTACGCATATTTAGGTAATCTGTAATATTGTCATGAAACACATTTTATTCTCAAACATAGTTGCAATCTTTTATTTTAACCGTTGCTTATTTTAAAATAAATTAACTATTTGAAAAATGACAATTATGATTGCTACATTTTAGTTTTACTTAAGTGTAGATTGTATATAAATTGTGCAATTTTATCAATTAATTATGCAATGTTTATATTTTTCTCAAAAGTGCTTTTGATTATTTTTTCGTCATATATTGTTTGCAAAGGAATTGTGTGAATTTTGACATCAAAAACGAATTTGATTGACTTCAAAATTAAACTGAATATCTTCAGATTATATGTACAGTACAGTCCAGTATATATATAAAATATAATATTTTCAGAAATAATTTTTCCCAGTTATCAGAAATAATAAAATAATGTATTTCCATATAAATAGGAAATTCGTAGAAAATGACAAAATTAAAATTATGAAACATTTTAATCGTAAATTAAGCGTATCAGTCTTAATTAAACATTAATAAGTTTCGCAATGATAACTTTTTGGATAATCAGCTTAAGACTTATCTGGCATAATTTACAACATTAAAACATTACATCTGTAATATTCTTGTTACCCCACCCGCAATTATTCCCTTAATTTCTAGAATTTTATATTACAACTTACATTTTTAAGTTACAAAATTTGAAAAATTAATTACTCCAAAATTTTTTTTATGAACCTTTGAAAACATACAACACATTTTTCTACTTTTGTTTTAAAATATTTTATAATTTTTTTGTAGGTAATATTTAGAAGGCGTAAATCCTTTTTAAGCGAATGTTTTATTTGATAATTTTTATGCATTGTACGAAAACATAAAAAAATAATTTATTTAAATAGTTTAATTTTTTGTTTTTAGTTTTTACGTTTTGAATATATCATCTGGAATCGAAGATATTGGATCTATAGAATGGAAGATCGCTTTATGTCTTTTAGTATCGTGGATAGTTGTTGTGATCTCATTAATTAAAGGAATTAAATCATCAGGAAAAGTATTAAAAATTCTATTTTAATTTACAATTTGCAAATTAAAGAGAAATATTTTCTAATTATTAAATATTTTCATAGGTTGTTTATTTCACAGCTACATTTCCTTATGTTATCCTCTTTATATTATTCATTCGAGGAGTAACATTAGAAGGAGCTACTGAAGGGCTCAAATTTTATTTGATACCCGATTTTTCAAAACTATCTGATATAAAGGTAATTTAAAAACCTTTATTTATTGTACTGTAAAGGATAATTTATCATATGATAATTTTATTGTTATTTTAAGGTTTGGGAAGCTGCAGCCATTCAAGTATTCTATTCATTCAGTATTGGAGGAGGCGGAATGTTAACTTATGCCAGTTACAATCGTTTCAAAAATAATTTAATTAAGTAAGTTAACCTAATTTATTATTATTTATTGTTGTTTGAAGAAGCTTGTTATTTATGCTTGATTTTTAAAGATTATTATTATTTTATTTATTATTTAAAGAGATGTCCTGATAATCGGAATAGCCGATATGTTAACCAGTATTTTTAGTGGATTGGTCGTCTTTTCAATGTTAGGTTATACTGCTAATCAACTTCAAAAAAACGTTTCAGATGTTGTGAAATCCGGTAATTAAATATTGGTTTAAATCTTATTTTTTTATTTATATTTCTACATTAATGTTACTTTTATGTGTGAACAGATAATGGGCTTGCATTCATTGCTTATCCAGAAGGAATTTCCAAAATGCCAGGATCGGTATTTTGGGCTCTTTTGTTCTTCTTTATGCTGTTTTTGCTGGGCATCGATAGTCAGGTTAGTCTAATTAAATAGTCCAATCATGGAATATTTTAATTTTTAATATGCTTAAACGTTAGGTTATTAAAGTTATATTAAAAATAAGAATTTTATGGATAAATTTTTATTCAAAAATTGATTTTTACGCTTAGATTATTTATTAAATTATTTTAAAGTATCTTAATCGAAAAGAATCTTTAAAAGTAAAATGTTTATAAAATATCGTTATAGAATTTTAATCAACTTTATAAAGGAATATAATGTATAGGCCTCGCTTTACGACCTCTAACTTTACACTTCTCCGCTTTTACTCTAATATATTGATAAATTTTTTATTTAATTGTATGAAACACCATTTTTAAGTATCTTTTTGACAACTTGATTTATTGAATTATAAATGTAATTTAGGATACTAAACCGTCTATGAAAAATACCATGCCTCGCTTAACCACAATTTTCCAGAAACCAATTAAGTCGTAAAAGCGAGGATCGTAATTTAATACAAAATAATTGTACTTTAACTTATAACTTATTTACTATTTAGTAAAATAAATAATTTATAAAAATAATAAATTAAAATTTAGGTAGACTATATTAAAGTGATTATGTTTAATTTTAGTTTTCTATGGTGGAATCTCTCATAACTGCAGTGTTTGATCAGTTTCCAAAAACTCGAGATAAGAAACCTCTTGTTGTCATTTCTATTGGAATTATTTTATTTTTTCTAGGATTGCCTTTAACAACAAGAGTAAGTAGTTATTTACATGTAATATATTTTAAAATGTTAAAAAATTATAAATAATTATATTAATATATTTCAATAATTTTAGGGTGGTATTTATATTTTGGAAATAATGGATGCATATGCCGCAGGGTGGCCATATTTATTTATTGGTTTAGTAGAATGTATCATAGTAGGTTACATATATGGTAAGAGTATACAATAACTTATATTAATTTTTGTTTCCGAATTTATTTTGTTTATTACTATGAACGTCATAATAAATTAATTTTCTTTACTTTTTTTTTAATTTTAGGTATAAATAATTTTCTCTCTGATATTAAACATATGGTTGACTGGGTGCCAAATTGGTGGATTAAAAGTCATCTGACAGTCACATTAGTTACCATTTCACCAACTTTAATTGCTGTAAGTTTTTACGTATTTATAATAATATTTATAATAAATCCTCGCTAACTCGGACAATTTTTTTTCGAAACAGTAATTTAAAATTTCTTGACAATAGAAAAATTATAATTAGGTCTAATGAGTGTTTAGATACCCGAAAATCTTAGCGATACCGTGCATTATATTACTGTAGTCGGTAAGTTAGTAAAGACTGTAAATTGTTGTATACAGTCGACCCCCCTATAACACTGTTGATTTTTTCGTTTTATATGAATTCCATGTTGTATGAGTCAGTTAGATTTTACAAATACGTGTGCCAGGCTGTGAATGGCTCACGTATTTGTAAAATCTAAGTAACTCGTACAATGTCATAAAATTTTTTGAGCTCATTTCCTTTAATAAATTCAGCTGTATAACCTCGGCTCAATAAAACTTCTATATTGAGCTGATCGTAAGAAATTATTGTACTATATACCCACGTTCTCGTTTTCCACGTCATCAGAGAAACATCCTGCTAACTCGGACTAGTTAAACTAGCTTCACTCCATACTTTTCAAGGGTTTACTGTATTTAATACATAATGAATTTATAACAAAACAGTCAGATGGCCGAAGGATGGACACCTCTCTGGTGGATCCGAGATCGAATCGGGACGGGTCAAGAAACCCCAAGAATTTTTCGGGAAGTAATTCGTTCAGATATATCGAACCCCGTCCCTCATCGCCTGGCGACCCCATTCTGAACCTGGTCATAATGGGCTTGCTAAAAAAAATCTTATTGTCCATAGAACGAAAAGTTAAAAAAAATGAATTTATTATGAAAATTATAATATGATCGTAATTGATAATTTATTTATATTTTAATTTTAATATTTTTATAGTTAGCACTAAGCTTGTAAATATTTACTTTTTGGCTAACCACTTGTTAAAGTTGATAATGCAACAACTTTATTAATAGCTATGAAAACGTAATTACTTTAGAATCTACGTAATTAATTTTCCATTTAAATATTAGAATTATTGTATATTTAAAAAAAGCATTATTATAGTAGTTCGCGTTAGGCAGTGATACCCAAACTTTTTCGATCCACCGTCCCCTTTGTTCCAGAAAGTTATACTCAACGCCTCCTAATCCATTTTCTCTTGTGTGAGAAAGAGTTAGAAAAGTTTTCCTAAGAATATTACCATGTATCTCACACCTTGTGCCCTTACCATACATTGTTCTTAACACCTGGAAATCATTAAACGCAATGTTTCTCTGATCAGTTTAACAGAGAAAAGGGAACAGCTTTCAGTGACCCCAATTTTGCCTTTGGTCACCGTTCAATACCCTTCCTCTAGCGCCCCCTAGATTTACTCATCGCCCACAAGGGGGCGTTATTGCCCACTTTGAGAAATGCTGCGTTAGAGTGTTGTTCCTACTTTTTTTTTTTTTTTTTTTTTTTGACCATGTCCGAATTCGTTACATAGTTGGCGCATTCCTATTTGCGAAAATTGAAATAGCTTCTCGTTATATCGCTCATTCTGGTATATAGCTTTTTGCCTCCCAAATAAAAAAGCTCTTTAGCCAATATTGGATAGATATATCGATTATATCACGCCTTCTGATATATCGCTCTTTTGGTTTGTCTCTCTACATGCACAATGTAACAGAGGACGCTGTACAGTACTTATATAGCTCAAACCTGCTGTGATGATTATGTCTATTGTGCATCAACAACAGGATTTGTGCTATATAATTGCCATTAAAAATTAACTGAAATAATTCTATAATTAAAACTAATAATAATGTATTACTGTAATAATATTGTAATAATGCCGTAATATGTATGTATACATACTTTATAGATTATATATGTATGTACAGTACAGTACTAGATAACTAGATATATTTACTTACTAGCGTTTATATATATACTGTATGTAAGCATATACAAATTTTTTAAAATTATTTTATTCGTAATTTATCAAATTAAAATGTTAGTAAATTAAAAAATTATATATATCATACTTCTAGGTGTACCTGTACAGTACATTATTATAAAGTCAAATAGTGTAGTTAAATAATCTTTATTTCATTTCAAAACATCGGTTGTTTGGTGAAAAGAAATTTTCTGTTTCTTTGAGGCCATTCTTTATATTATCAATGTTGTTCGGGTTGATATAAATGCTTTTTGTGTGTTTGATTGTTAAAAAAGTAGTCGTTGGTGCTTGTTACCTTCAAGCCTTTGACATTGTATAAATACAAATAGTACTTTTAACAAATTTTTAGACAAGAATATTAATTTAATGAGTATCAGAATAATATTCAAATGTAGATTAGACGGTAGAAAACGTTTAATAATACATTATGAAATAAAAATAAACTATTAAATTTTTTAATAAAAAGTCACCGATAAATAAAAATAAATCAAACGATTTTTCGTAGTAGTAATAAAATAGAGGCGACTCTAGTGGCAAACATACAAAACTTATATGGATAACTGAAGAGTTTTTAGTAAACTTGTAATAAGTGAAAATTATTAAAAATTATTTTATTCGTAATTTATCAAATTAAAATGTTAGGTCGGTAAGTTAGTAAAGACTGTAAATTGTTGTATACAGTCGACCCCCCTATAACACTGTTGATTTTTTCGTTTTATATGAATTCCATGTTGTATGAGTCAGTTAGATTTTACAAATACGTGTGCCAGGCTGTGAATGGCTCACGTATTTGTAAAATCTAAGTAACTCGTACAATGTCATAAAATTTTTTGAGCTCATTTCCTTTAATAAATTCAGCTGTATAACCTCGGCTCAATAAAACTTCTATATTGAGCTGATCGTAAGAAATTATTGTACTATATACCCACGTTCTCGTTTTCCACGTCATCAGAGAAACATCCTGCTAACTCGGACTAGTTAAACTAGCTTCACTCCATACTTTTCAAGGGTTTACTGTATTTAATACATAATGAATTTATAACAAAACAGTCAGATGGCCGAAGGATGGACACCTCTCTGGTGGATCCGAGATCGAATCGGGACGGGTCAAGAAACCCCAAGAATTTTTCGGGAAGTAATTCGTTCAGATATATCGAACCCCGTCCCTCATCGCCTGGCGACCCCATTCTGAACCTGGTCATAATGGGCTTGCTAAAAAAAATCTTATTGTCCATAGAACGAAAAGTTAAAAAAAATGAATTTATTATGAAAATTATAATACCTAAATCGAATAATACAATTACTGTTTGAAAGAGTCAGAACTCACCCCAGATTTTCAATGGACTTATCAGGAAATTACTTCATACAAATCAGTTAAGAGCAGGAAATGATAGTTTAGGCCCTAGAGTTAATGCATTAATTCTTATCTAAAATTAACTTCTATCTCTAATTATTTAGATATTGTATGAGAATGTATAAGAAATTTTTTTTTGTATAAGAAAATTTTATTTGTATAAGATGTTTTTCATTGGAATAATAACATTTTCGCTTGTATGTCTTCTCTCTGTCTTCCTTTGGAAATACATTATAATACATTATGCTTGTATGTAAGAATAAATGTTTATTTTTTCAATACTATTTGAAGAAACATCTTGCTGAAGATAGTTTTGGTAGTCTTCACATTCTGATGTGAGAACTAATCACACTGGGCGAGTTTATTTTAAGAGAAGGGGTGGTGTGTTGATGGCTTGTAATTAACACTTGTTATATTGAGTGAATAAAGGGAACGTCTGAGTTACTAAATAACTTATTACGAAAAATTGCTTTCCAATAAACTTTAGGCGAATTTTAATTATTATTGGTTATATCATTTACTAATAAATGAGCTATCCCGTTTAACTAATAACTATATGACTGGTTTCAATGGCAAATTCGTTCATTTTAAAGCTATTTAAACCTTCCCAATATGTAATTCTCCACTCAAAATTTTCAATTATTATTCAAATTTTGGTGTAGAGTTTTCTCAAGTGAGTAATTATCGAATAGACTATTGTTCTGAATCATTTCTTGCTTAATAACTACTACAAACTAAANTAAATTTTGTTTCTCAATGTTAAAACGAATTTCTCACGAGACGAGAAATCTCGAATTGAAAAATTAGCAAGGTTGAAGCCGAAGTTTTAAACGCGAAAACGTGTACGTCGGACTTTCAGCGCCGCTTTCCTGTAAGCCTAGAAGTTTGACAATGGTGTTTGGATAGTCAGTGGAATCGCCACGCTTTGCAGAAGCAGATTATAATAAATATTTAATTTTATTTTTATTTGGACTTTGACACTCATACTATTTTCATCCTGTTAATCTTAATCTTTCCTATATTACAAATCTCTTGAGAGGCGATGTAGGCTCTCATTAATAAATTAATGAATTCTTTTGCGATATTTGTTGCAAGATAGCTACTATTCTGAAAACCAACATTAATAATAATATAGACTTCACTGTACAGATTAGGTTAGAAGTTTGTATATAGTTGATCGGGACCTCCTGTCCCGATCAACTATATACAAACTTCTAACGTAAACTGGAAGTCACGTTATTTCAACTCAAAACTTTTTCCCTGAAAACTGTAAGATGGATGACCGGCACTACTCTATTGTTAAAGGAAAAGTATGATGTACAGGAGCAAGCCACTACTAAATTGAGGTGGAGAGCATATATTTTAATTAAATAAATTAAAAATATCATTAAAAATTACAGTCCAGCATTGTGACGATGTCCAAATAAATAATGTAAGACGAAAAACAATATATTTATTATAATTAATTTTCGAAAAATTTAATATTAAACGATAGCTAAATTAAATGATAAGTATATACATATATTCTCTTGTATTTTAATAGTAGCTTCTTTTTTCCTTTATCAATTCGACCTTCTCTTTTATAAACATTATTGATATCGTCAAGGGATATCTAATACACATATCATTTTTTGTTTGTATAATTCTAACGTCATTCGCGATGATACACTTTTTTATATACTTGTCTTTCGTTAGCTTTATTGATAAATGATAATCATTCAATAAGCAACACACTTGTTATGTAGTCTTATTTTTGTTGAGTAATAGATATAATTTCTGTTTAAAATATTGCTTAATAATTATACTTTTCTTTTTTATATTCTATTAAATTTATTTTATACAAATCAAATCTATGTTTTTATCAAAATATAAAACAGAAAAATAATCAAAATAATAATATTGTAGTTTAGATTCCGTCTTAAGGGTTAGCGTTCAGACGACAGAAAGAATCAAAAATGGAAAAATGGTTTAATATGCTACATTAAAACCATATTTAATAGTAACGTTTTCATTTAATATAGTATTCATTTTTTATTTAATATTATGATATATTGAATAAAGTTATTATTTTTGTTTTACTTAATTCTAAATCACTTTAATTTGAACAAATTATCAGTACTGTATACATTTAATATACACAATATTTTTATGATTAATTGATATATCTATGCTAAAGTTCACCATTTGATTATATTTTTTAATCGTTACTTAATATCAAAGGTTTAACATTAATAACACGAAAATTTAATCAAAAATCGGGGTTATGTTAAATCTCTTTACTTTTCCCCTTCTATTTAGCTTTGTTCGCAACTTCCTTCTTCTTTACCGCTCCGTGCACATGCGATATATAACTACATCAACTTTTCACACAGTAATCTAGTTTATGATACATGAAAGTTTTTATATAAACTTGAACATAGATAAGTATATATACAATAGATTATAACTTAAGTATATGCTTAGTTGATATGCATCACTCGACATATACTAACTTGAAATTTATAAATATTACTAAGTAGAACTAAAAATCTTATCTATGCAAACTAGAACTTTGCAATAATTATAAATTTCATTTAAGTAAGCTTACATACTATTAGCTTCAAGTAAAAAATAAGCAGAATATTTATAAGTTTGAAGTTTTATCATATCCAAAAGTTTTTTAAATCCTTTATAATTTTCACCGATAAGATTGTTTATCAATAAAAAGATTAATTAAGGCGATTTTCTCCGCAGTTAATTTATTACACGTTATCACAATGAAATTATGTTTTGATTTCGATTAATATGATTACAAAAATGAGCTAAAAATGCAGCTACAAAACGAATTTAAAAAAAGCAATAAAAATGTTTTTAAAATATATTTCTAGTCTTTGCAAACCTTTCAATAAAAATAATAAATAATTTAGTTAAACGTTGATAATTTTTGATTAAAATGCTAACGAAAATTAGAAAAAAACAAACTACAGAGAAAATAAAATTTCATAAAAATTGTATTATTCGATGTTATTTATTTTCAATTTATATTATTCAACAATATTTTAATATGTTTTAAAAATTAAAAATATGAATGGTTATAAAATATAAAAATATAAAAGTAAAAGATAAATTTTTCTAAAACCAGACAAAACATTTCATTTTCTCATTCTTGTCAAGGCTAGGTTATTATTAATTTATTGAACGTAATTAAATTCACAAATCTAAACTATATGCTATATTACATGATTTAAACGAAGATTATAAATGTATTTATCGTAATTATTGAATGTGTGTTAGTTTTTAAAAATAAAATCCTATTTTGAAATTAAATTTTTGTCATAAATATGTTGTTATTAATTCATTTTTAATTCCCAATAAAAATCAGAATAAATCTTATTTACTAAAATTAAAATTGTTTAGTACAAAAAGCACATTAATCACAAATATAGATAATTTTCAATTATCAAAGTATAATTACAGCTTCTAAGGTTATTCAGAAAATTCAACAAGGGTTAAATGATTTTACAAAATATTAAAAAAAGATTATAAAGTTATAATTTTTCAGTAGAGATGGATAGGGATTAGACATAACTTATTTTGAAGGAAACTAGAATACAGAATTCCAATTAAAATTTATTTTTTATTATTGTTACTGAATAGGAAGATGTAATTTCATATTACGTTTTCACCATGTAATTACCGTATTATTCTCTATCATTTTCATAGAAAATATTGTTTAATATAACATCACACAACAAATGTACTCATAACATTTAGTTGTACTATTAGAGAAAATATTATGATAGAGACAAAGAAATAATTAATACTGATTGATTGCATAAAAACAAGTGAATGAAAGTCGAAAACAAAATACAAAGTAATTTGTCGCTCAGAAATATGAAAACATATTTTCATAATAATTTAAAGCTTTATACTACCATCAATAAATTAAGAATTAAATTATTTTTAATAGAATAACATATTGATTGTATTTATCTTATTTTTCCAATAGTTAATACTGTTACTTAGTTGGATTGAGTATAAACCTTTGGAGCTAGGAAATTATGTTTTCCCCACCTGGGCAAATGCAATCGGATGGATGATGGCAATAATTCCAATCGCTTGCATCCCTATAGGCATTTTTCACGAAATATTTATTAAACATCGAAAGCGGCCATTTTCAGAAGTAAGTAAAAAATATATTTTTTTAAAATGAATTATTTTCATACATCTATTAAGTCTTAAATTATAATTTGCATATATTTTACAGCGTGCGAAGAAGTGGATACGCCCTACAAGTGAATGGTTCGACAATTCTCACCGAAACGGTGTTCTAAAAGACAATTCTTTATACTCTTCGGAAGGCCAATTGTCTGTTATAGCAACCAAATCTTGAATTATGTTATTTAATATTTAAACTTTCATTTGTCAACAAAAAAGCAGTAGTTTTAATCATATCATTTTATATTTAAATTTCGCACATTTAAATGTACAGTATAATAAATACAGTATCATTAAATATTTTTAACATAACAATAAATTATGTTTACGCAATACAGTATTGCGGCAATTTAAGGTTACATATTCAATTTTTATGTTTTTAAATATTAACTCTTAAACATTAAGTCAAAATTTAAGAATTTTCGCTGTTTTAGGAACTGTTTCACAGTTTTAGTATTCTTGCGTAAAATACAATTTTGAAATATTTCTACGTAAAATTAAAATGGTTAAAATAAAACAATTGTTGAGGATTCGGATCTTCATAATTAAAAAAAATTATTAAAAACTAGATTTGTTTTGGGCCAAGATTGTTTGCGATGGTGTTGATGTAAACGTTGCACATGTTACCATTAGAGTTTCCTTGATCCGAAGATGTAATTAGGATAGAACCCGATGGACGAAATCGCAGATAAGAGAATAGCTTATTTTTGATAGTGCTATTTAGTTGAAACTTATTTGTATTCACTTTCATTTTTAATCTATTAATATATGAGGTCTATTTAAAAATAAACCTCATATATTAATAGAAAAAATATGTGCTGTATATATATATATATAATTGTTTTCTGTGTTGACAAAATTATAACTTATTTGTTGTCGAAGCAAACGTATTATTTTTTCTAACTTAGTAATTTCAAGATGGCGACGTCTCGAAATAGAATCAAGTAGATTTTAATGACAATATTTGGTCGGTGTTTTAATTGCATTTATTATTGGATTTTAAACGACAATATATACTAAACCGACTATCTAAGAAAAGATAAAGTTTGCAAGATAAGTGTTCTTCGGTGGGAATGAAGAATGCCAACCGTCAGATTTTAAGTTATTTTTATATTTTTTCATCTAAACTTAATTATATTTAATTTGTTTTTATAATATAATAGGCCTATATAATAATTATAATTACTCGCAGTCGAATATTTATACGGTTAGGCAATAAGAAATCTGCTGCATCTATTTTATTATTAGAACTAGCAGACCCCGCCACGCCTTGTTGTGGCTCAAAATGTATCTATTATAAATGTATAACACTTCCCCCCTGAGAGAAAATTTTTCGAAAAATTTCTTTTTAGTGTACATTCTGTTGACGTACCCTATTAAAACGTAATCAAAAACGCAAAAAACCCACATCTAAAATAGTATAATAGAAGCCAAGTTTTTCACAGTAAGCCTTAATTCTGTCCCTCTCCCCCGCGGGGGAATGTCGAAAAATCCTTTCTTACTGTACATTCTGTTGACGTACCCTATTAAAACGTAATCAAAAACGCAAAAACCCGCATCTAAAATGGTATAATAGAAGCCAAGTTTTTCACAGTAAGCCTTAATCCTGTCCCTCTCCCCCCAATGGGGTAATTTCGACATGTATTCGACAGCCTATGTCCACCCTGAGGTTCCATTCTAAATATTGGTGAAAGAATTTTTGAAATCGGATGAGTAGTTTTGGAGATTACCTGCTGCATACAAACTAACATACAAACACTACATCTTTATTATATTAGTATAGATTACTTCATTTACATGATGTATAAAACTCCTAAGGATCTGAAATTACAAAACCTGATGCACTGGCAGCAGAAATGAATAAAGATGAGAGAATATTTATTTATATTCTTGCAACTACAATTGCAAACACCGAATCTCACAAGATCTTGGACGACATAAAATATTGGTGTGTCACTTGGTTTCAGATTTATCAATAAGGTTCGATCCGTGGCTCAAATTAATGAATAGAAAAAAAACTCGATTAAAAAAAACCTCAGAAAAAAGAACACTTCTCTAGAATATTTCGAGGCGAAGTCAAGTCGGCAGATTGGATTGAATTGATAGAATAAGGCAATGCAACTCTTGGCGATCTCTCTCAAAACACTTCTAACACAAGAGACAAAAATTTATTCCTTGTGATTTCTATGCAACGAAAAACTTTCTCCAGGTAACAAATAATATATTTTGTGATGTTTAGTCAGAACTCCCGTGAAATCTTTAATTTCTTATACGTGTCAGATATACATTAGAAAACCTGCAACAACGAAAAAAAAAAAAAATGTTTGTTGGAATGAGAATCCCGGGACCCACACATAATAAAAAAAAAATAAGTAAATGAAAATTTGAATATGATTAGAACCTTGTATATGATTAGAAAATAACATCGATTCACTTATTAAATACAGGTACTCGGCTAACGCAATAGATCAGTTTTTTAAAAATAGCGCGTTAGCCGAAAATTTATATCTCATGAGAATATATGTAATATTATATTCAGGAGGTCTGATCTATACATGATTCTTGTTTGTTAAAATCATAGCCTGGCGAGTCAAACGATCGTCTTACAAATGCTACTATCTGGAAATATTTAAAATTCTTATCATCTAATGTGCTGAACAAATATTCTTTTTCGTGCAGATTATATGTGCCGTCGTAACAAAAACGTCAAGCTTACAACTAAATACCTCAAAATTCTCAAGACTGGAATTTCAGAAACAATGTTCTTCGAAATAAGATCTAAACGTATCGAGACTTTTTACGACTGCTAACGTTTCTTAAAAAGCAGAAAAAAATGAAAGATCTTCAAACTTAAAAATGTTTGAAAATCTAAGAATAGAAGGAAAGGCGAAAATAAGTTAAACAATTTATTTTAGAAAAAAAATTAATTAGTGGATGGTTGTCTCTTTAATCCGAAAATATTTCTCTCGGTAGACTATCTTACAAGTCAGGTCAAGAAACTCTTTTATTGTATTTTCAATTCATATGCATTTCGAACTGGTTTCATATTCCAGTTTCTCTTCAGTGCTCTTTAAGAAGAACTGGAAAATGAAACCAGTTTGAAATGCATATGAATTGAAAATACAATAAAAGAGTTTCTTGACCTGACTTGTTGTAAGATAGTCTACAGAGAGAAATATTTTCGGATTAAAGAGACAACCATCCACTGAACGAATATACAGCTACAATTAGTAAATTCAAAAAATTAATTATTTATTTACTTTTTAACTAAAAACTAACAAGACACGAATGTTCAATGTATAACGGTATAGCGTATCATTTTCGTAGAGCAAATTTTTGTCATACATTTATTGAACAATGTGTCGGGTCACATCTACCCTCCTGGTCTCTCCATTGCTGATCTGGCTGAACCACCAATGGATATGGAAAAATGTCCTCTTAGTACCCACAGAGAGAAAACAACCAAAGACATCGGAAGAAACAAAATACTGTAATTTAAATTTTTATATGACTATTATAATTTCCTTTCAAAGCTTTGATATTTTAAATTCCTTTCCCAAAAAATATTATTATTGTCAATCTTGAAACAATTCTTTTGTCACCAGCATAAGTTAAAATTTTTCTTAACGGGGATAAATAAAATTTATATTTACACTGATAATATTGAAATAATGTCTACTGTTATTCAAATATATCAGTCCTTTGGATAATAAATTTTGTTTCTCAATGTTAAAACGAATTTCTCACGAGACGAGAAATCTCGAATTGAAAAATTAGCAAGGTTGAAGCCGAAGTTTTAAACGCGAAAACGTGTACGTCGGACTTTCAGCGCCGCTTTCCTGTAAGCCTAGAAGTTTGACAATGGTGTTTGGATAGTCAGTGGAATCATGCTCGACATTCCAAACACCATTGTCAAACTTTTAGGCTTACAGGAAAGCGGCGCTGAACGTCCGACGTACACGTTTTCGCGTTTAAAACTTCGGCCTCAACCTCGCTATTATCAAAGTACTGTATTACCTAATTCGAATGAACTGTTTACACAACTGTAAGAATTACTTTTTACGAAAATATTAAGAAATAAAAATTGTTTAGTTTCAATAAATTTTGTTTTTGAATCTTTGTGCTCAAAACTTTATTTACTGAAATTACAATCATTATTTAATGACACCAATCACAGTAAACCGTTGTTCAAAATGCTCATTCACTAAAACTAAAATAAAATTTATCAGTAGTTTATCAACATTATGAACAAATCAGAAACAATTATTTCAAAATATGAGTTACTTCTATTTGCTATTCAAAATAACAAGTTATTAAAAAACATATTTATTAAGATTATATAAAGATTTAAATATAAACGCCGTTATTTGAAGTTTAATTTTATCCCTTTCATTTAATTTCTTCATTTGAAAATCATATCTATCGTTTAATTTTATAAGATGCTCGACTTCCCGACTACTATCGAGAGATATGAACCAAGAAATAAGTAAAATAACTAGAAATGCATTCCATAATTATAAACTGACAAATTAAATGAAAAATATAGAAATGGTTCAGAAATGCACTCATTTACAAAAAAAATACTCACCAAGAAGACATTAAAATCAAATGAAGCTTTATTAGTTATTAGCAATGATGGTAATAAATGATTACTATTTTCATAGAAAAGAGACAATTTCCTATGGAACAGAGGTGCACTTTAAAGAAACTCTTAGCACCTTGTAGGACCTCTTCTTGTCTGAATACATGTTGCAATATGTCGAGCATGGAAGTATACAGGTTCCATATGCTATCCTGTGACAGATTCGTCAACAAATGTTGTAACTATTGTTTCAGTTCCCCAATATATAAATCTCCCTGCAAAATTCTGGAGAAAAAGCACAGGAGTTATTACGTTTCAAAATGGTGAACAAAATCGTGCTCTATACATACAGAATAAACATCCCAAATCTTTTGCATTTCTCGACGTTTCAACATCCTAATCCCTGAGTCTAAACTTGTAAAAAATCTCGGAGGAAATTTATTTGACCGATCACCATATTTTCCCTCTATTATCTATAACAGACCGGAAAGTAAAAGTCTATATAGAAAATGCCTCGACCCATTTCCTTAATAATATGACTCTAAAGGAGGAATAAAAAAAACAAAAAACAAAAAATACAAACTTATTACATTTATAATTTCCACTAGAAATTATGAAAATTAGTAATTTTAAATTTATATACTGTATACAAGATAATTACGTTTAGTCTATGCTCGACACTTTAAAACTTGTGTTTGCTTTTATGTTTGTAAAGGATTAGTTTTTACAATTGAAATTACGCGATATGCTTTATTATATTTATTTTTATCTTAAGTAAAAAAATTGATTGCTTTGCTGTCAAAAAGTATAGCAATGCCATAACCATCTCCTGCATACCCCCTAAAATGTATGTTGTAAAAATTAAACAAAGCAGTTTAATGGCTTTCGACTCTAGTTAATAATAAAAAATGCATCTTGATTCCGTTGTCAGCAGCGTGCATCTACAAATTTCTTGACGGCCCTACAAGCCATCGAGAATTAAGCCACACCAGTAGCGTAGCGTAGTGGGGGCGGCAGGGGTGGCCCGCCCCAGGCGGCACTTTTTAGGGGCGGCAAAATTTGACAATAAATAATAATAATATCTTGTAAGAATTTGAACCATTATATTTCATATTTTCGTGCACCTACGACTCGTACCGATTGAAATGAGCACAGAATAGTGTTATCATTCATCCGGATAGTCCGGGAATCGACTCGCCGTCCGGTGATATCGCGCGCAACCTGTTGACCTTTTTCTTTTTTTTTCTTTTTTTTGTTGCTTGTACGGTTTATTCGTATATGTATACACCTCCAATATCCAATACAGCTAGGTCACTTGCGTTACTCCTATCCAAGTCTTCCTAATCGCTAACTGTAACTGATTTAGAATCAGCATGCGCTACACATTATTCTTCGCATTGCAAAATGACATACGCATGCGTCAGGAACTTCTATTCGAACAAACCTCACCTGCCGTCCGGGTCAGCGATTTTAATAAGGTGGCAAGACTAGCACGGAATTTTTCATTAGTTATTCTATGACGAAACTGAATTTTAGTCTTTTAAATTGAGATAACTAAATAAGGGGGGCGAAATTTTCCTTTGCCCCGGGCGGCTGACACCCACGCTACGCCACTGAGCCATACTTAATTCTCAATGGCGGCGTACATATGATTCGAGCTTTCAAACAGCTAAAATCATTTCAGTTTTCGTTCAATTGGCATTTTAATCTTATTCTGATACGCATTAATGTTCTTGTTCAAAAATGTTAGAAAAACTATTTAATTAATATTTAGCCTATACAAAACAGAGAAGTATGAAGGTAACTTTTTAACAAAATAAAAAGCAGGTACAGTATATGAACTTAAAAACGTTGACAACGTAAAAAATAAAGAAACAAACAAAATAATAATAATAATAAATAAATTTTATAACTGTGAGACAAGGATAATACTGTAATTGTAACTATTTGTCTTCAAATGACAAAATTTTAAGTAAAATTTTATGAAGATTTTTCAATAATAAAAATTTAATTTTTAGGCTCATTGCAAAAGGCCTAAAATTAATTAAAGAAAAACTTTTTTGAGAAAGACGAATTTTTTCTCAAAATTCTTTTTATTTCAGAATTTAATTATTAATTAAATGGTAGTTAATTGAAAATAATAATATATATTTAGAAAAATGATATATTATCCTGCTTCGTTTCAAACATATTTTTCTTATTAAAACATTTGTTTTAACTTGAAGGGAACTAAAGGAATTTTAGCATAACTTCTTGGTTAGATCAATCTATTCAAAGTTACCTGAGTCCTCTGGCTTTACAAGAATTAACTCTTTTCGCTTCTTGGGCATTAAGAGGTCATTTTAATAATGCGTATAATACAGTGGAATCCTGTTATCATAATCACGAAAAATGTTATCAATCGGCTATTGTTATGATAATCAGTCAGTCTTAAAACACTGAACATTAAAACTAATCCATCTATTATTATCAAACTCCAGTTATTGTGATAATTGGGGACAAACGTTAAGAATTCTTAGAAAATTCGTACCAAATGAACCTTTTTTTCGAATTTTACTTTTAACTGAAGCATACCTTTTATCTTTTATATACTGTAGGGGAATGATAATAATTCTTAGAAAATACATACATTGATCTTTACTTGAAGCTTATCTTTGGAAATGAACATTCCTGTTGAGATTACTCTAGTTTAATTTTGTGTTGAGTTAAAAACAATTGTTTATAAGAAATGTAGCATATTTAAATGTGTAATATTGTATTAAGTGTACAGTCTGTGATAAGTATAAATTGTATAGATTCATACTGTAGTTCTTTAATAAACTTAGTTCAATAATAAAATTTTTTAATCCTTTGTTTAATGTTATCAGCCAGTTATTGTTATCAAAAGTTGCAAGTCCCAAAGTGATAATAATAATATTCCATTATATAATAATACATATGTAGTATATACATGGCCACTAACTTGTAAGAAGTCCATTTAATAATTTATATATGTAAATTCATCATTGACTTGTGAGTCGAACTTAAAGTCGTAGTCCATTAGTCCAGTCCAATCTCAGTCAGGTTAATGCCACGAGTCTCTTTCTGTAAACGAGCGAGAAACTAGCTATGGGTCACTTCACAATTTGGCCAACTTTTTTGTTTAACCTTTTGGACCGGGGTTCAACTCTAAAAAATTAAATGTATTTGAACAATTAATAAACATCTCTTATTAGCACGTGCAAGACGATTGTATTGCGGATTGTCCGATGTTTGCCTTCGTAAATGTTTTTAAAAACAGTTTAAAGTTCAAACAATTAAATTTTATTTTTTTTCTGTCAATGGTATCCGTCACTGTGTACAGAGAGACCACCTCTTCAGCACCTCTGGTTTAATTTGTGACATGAAAAGAAGCAGATTAGATTCCGAGCGTTTTCGAATTCTTCTTTTCTTAGATAAAAATGAGAACAATTATTTGTTAATCTATTGTAGTTGATATGAAGGTACTACCTAAAAGAAGCAACTTTAGAATCAGAAATTAAAATTAAAAGTTTGCAGTTTCATTTTTAAAAATAAGTAAATTGTTTTTCATTTTCACTTTTGTTTACTTTATTAAAGTATTGAAATAAATAAAACAAGTTAAATAATAAATATTAATTAAATAAATTATTAACTACATAAGCTATATATAATAATTAAGTTCACGAGGTATTCGAGATCTGGTTAATACTGTATTCGAATATGAAAACAGTTGTATTCGTCTATCTCTAGTATATATGATAAATACGAAGTACTTTATTTGTAATTTAATTTGTATTTGCATATAAGTAGTAGGTAAGCCGCTTATATGCAACTTTGCCGCCGCCGGTTTGCGTACTATTGCATAAATAATTAAAATCCGATTTTAAAAAATACATCCTTGAAAGTGATTATTTCTAATTTTTATCAATACATATTTAAATAAAAAATATTTATTTTATAAAATATTGATAAGATTCTATATACAGTATTTCTTTTAACGATATACCGCTACTTTCAGTAGAATTACAGTACTTCAATTTGTTAGGTGTCGCCACTGTTGTATTTTCTATGTGTTAACCGTAGAACGAACGGTAACGTGTGCATTTGTTTTCGGTGGTTCGTCTGGGAAGTCAGGGCTAAAGATGCCTAACATAAAAGTTTTCAGTGGTTCTTCTCATCCTGATTTATCTCAAAAAATTGTAGATCGGCTTGGAATTGATTTAAGCAAAGTTGTACTAAAGAAATTTAGTAATCAGGAAACATGGTAAGTTTGAAATAATTCTCAGAAAAAACATAAGAAAAATGGGAGAAATAGTCACGTGGAAAATGATTGCGTTTGGATATTGCATCTCTATACATTATGAAATCCTTTTTGTTTTTGTTTTGATTGTCGATTATTTACAGATATTGATATTGAATATTAAAAGATAATATATTAAAGGCAATAGTAATGTGAAAATAATTGTTAAGTTATTAAATAATAATTTTAATTATTTACCCCTCTTAAATAAATGATCAGTTATAACAACTTACAGAATTATAAGTTTTTATATTTTTTAAACAAAAAAATCATTTAAAAATTGATAAAAGAAATATATCTATTCATAATAGAACAAGTTTTTCATGATTTAATTGATGCTCTAAGCCATACAAAATCAATTGTTTTGTCATATTATGCTACTGATTATTAAGTTATGAATGTATAATGTAAAACTGATTATCAAGATTAACAATGGATATTTCAATACTATTCAAAAAATTTATATATATATATATATATATATATATAAATCGCACGATTTAGATAGTTAAAAATAGTGAAAACAGCAGCTGGTTTGCATTTTTAGATTTTTAATGACTGAAAACAGCAACTGATTTTACTTTTTAAATATATCCAATTAAAATATTTTACGTATTTATTATTTTTTAAATTCTAAATATATTTATTTATTTNCATGTTAGCATGTAATAGTAATAATAATACTAAATTTTTTAAGGTTATTACATAAATATATTAACATATTTACATTTAAGAATTGTTTAAAAGTTTTTTCTACATAAGGTTGTACTAAACCAGAATTTCAATATCTATATCAGACTTGATATTGCAATTTATTTGATATATTGATATTGATATTTAGATAAATATCGACTATTGTTGTTATTCTAGATTTTAGAGTATTTACATCTATACTAATATTATAAAGAGGTAAATTTTGTAAGTTTGGATGTAGGAGGTAATGTCTGAAATTACTCATCTGATTTCAAAAATTCTTTCACCAATATTTAGAATGGACCTTCAGGGTGGACATAGGCTGTATATTATTCCATTAAACATTTATGTAAATTAAAAGATATCATCTAGATAAGTGTTATATTTTTGGTGTCATCGGGTGGCAAGGGGCAAGACGCACATGTATATGAGATAGGTAATCATGTGGCGCAGTTGCATGGTTGGCAAGATACGCAGTGCACGTGTCCGAACTTGTGATATATAAAATTACATGTTCTGACTGATTCAACATCATCCAGAGCAAACCGCTGAACTTAAAGAGGTGAAATTTGGTACACAGTTAGGGTACATCATGAAAATGCACATCTTGAAGAGATTTTTCAAGAGGGAGAGGATTAAGGCTTAACCTTAAGAACGTCTTCTACTGTACTATTTTAGATGCGATTTTTTCTTTTATAGTAACAATTAATGTTGAGAATCTTAGTGAAGTATTGAGGGAGGGTTATTTCTATCAAATTGTAAATTCCGTGCAGGTGAAGCCGCAGGTAACAGCTAGTAATATTATAAACATGTACAGGTTTTGATATATTGATTTTGGCATGATATATCTGTTATCAGCATGGCACTAATTACAAATTTCAACAAAAGAAGTGTAATGAAAAAAATGTCTTTGGGGAAATTAATGAATAAAATTAAACTTATCAATTAGTGTTTGTGGGTTAGGCAGATGCTTGTGGTTTGCAGTGAGCTGTTGATGTGCTTGTGGGCTGGAAGTGTGTACAAAGACTGTTTTTGCGTGTGGTCACTGGACACTGTCAATTAGGATGTAGCCTTAGTCAAAGTGCTTTGACAGCAATACGGTCACTGACTACCAAGGCTGGAAAACCGAACCAACAGATGAAATAAATTCAAGAAATTAACAAATCCACCATCTGTATATACTACACCATAAACTTACAATAGACATAATAGCATACAGACACACTAAGAATATCAATTGTAGAAGTTACATAGAAAATACAGTTGTGTTTTCTATGATCGATATTAATGATTAATTGCACTGAAAAAATAAGACTGTAAAACTAATTTTTAGCTCTTTGTTTCAGTTTATGAAAAAGTAACTGTGAATCATTTAACCTGATCACTTTTGATGTCAGAATCCTCATTACTGATAAGATTGCTCAAAATTTTCTGAACTTATAGTAGGTTTACACTAATAAACCTGAACTTTTTTAAGAATAATAATGTTCATTGTTAAACAAGTTCTATTATGCTGTTCATAATAATCACTATAAACCAGTGGCGTGCCGTCATTAGAAGCAGTGGAAGTGCCGCTTCCCTTGTATTTTATAAAAAATAGACATATTAATTTTAATTATATGAAAATAATCGCACAATATTTTATTATAACCGCATCATGTATCTTATTACAAATTTCTATACTACACGTGAAAAAAAAAGTAAGTTTGTTATTGTATATTCGAATATTAGTGGCAGAGTGGAATCTCTGTATTGTCAGATTCCAAAAAGCCAGATTTGCGCATGCGCTTTACAGAGCACCAACCTCACCTGGTTTAGCCGGTGGAAGCCTACGACCTTGGGTTGATGCTAGACGTATAACGCTTCCAATTCTATCCTGGACCGGTTCTGGGCTGTTAGCCGCCCACCCGCTAGATATTTGGCCGATTACGTGAATAACGAGTAGATTTATAACTTAACCCAACCGATAAGAATTTACTGGTTTGTTTTTACGATAGTTCTGTATAGTTGACAGGAGTTAAAAAAAACCATTAAAATATTTGATATATTTATTCCGCTCTCCGATTTTATATTACTCATGGATTTCAATGTTAAACCAGTGATATCACGATTTCGTATGTCCCATCTCTAAGGGGATGTAGAAAAAAACGTGTACAATTTTTGTATAATGTTAAAAAATTAAGCGTTACTTCGACAGCATCATTTACAACTAAATTTAATGAATGAGAGAGATGCACGAGGTACAGAAAAAGCTCTAGAATTTATTTTCCTTAAATTTACGATTTATGTATCTGTTTGTCATAAAAATTTGTCTTTCCACTTCTTTCCCAAGACTACAAATATTCAAGTACAAAGTAACCGGTTTCGACTTATTTCTACTTAAGAAGTAGTTAAATAATTAAACGATTAGGGAATTGGGGACATAAACAAAACCCTGATGAAAGAGCTGTAATATTACTTAAACAAAAGCTTAACCGAACCAATCTATAGCCGAGTACAGTGGGGACTGATTTCTTCCAAATACTGTATTAGATGTAATAAAGACAGAAATTTTTCCACTTCAATAAGAGTGACCGAAAAGTTGTAAATTTTGGAAATTTCCGTGGACAACACCTGGTCCTAAAACGAATTAGTTAGAAAACAAAAGACGGACAATCTATTAAGTTTAACATATTTAGATTTTTACAGCTATGGTGAGAAACGTTTAAAATTTACAACAACCCTGTCGCGTCCTTTGAGATATACTAGTGATGAGACAAAAGAGACATTAACCGGTATCGGCACCCTCGGGATTTGGCAAGCATGCACCGCACCGCACACCTACCAAGACCGTCTCTGATTCCATCCACGAGCCACTGGTAGGGAGCAATTTTAACTAGGTGGATTGTTTTAATATTTAAAAAGTAAAGACTATTTTATGTTATTTTTATGTACGTTTCTTCACAAAACTATATTTATAATTTTCTTTAAAAGTATATTCATACAATTGAATATTTTGTACCAGGTATGTATAATTGTATATCATCACACATTTTATTTTAACAAGTAAGTTTTTATAATTTTATTTTTAATTTTAGCCCTTATATTATAGCTAGCAATTTAGAATGTAATTGTGATATCGAAAATTTATTTCAAAAAGTTTTGGCTCGAGACCATATAATGAAAAAGAAAAAATTTGTTCGACATTTTCATGATAAAATTTATGAAGATATAAAATGGCTTTGTGGATGCATAAAAATGCAAAATTTGTTTTGTTGGCCTTGCCTACTATTTTCAAATAAAATTAGTGTGTAGAATGAGATTGGCTTTGACGATTTAAATAATTTTAATAAAGCTGGCAAAAGACACGAAAATCCTAAATCTCGCATTGAATCTTTCGTAAAATTGAAGCAATTTGGAAATCAAAATAGAATAGAATTTAACATTAGTACACAATATAAAATAAATATTGAAAATTATAACAAGATAGTTACAGCTGATAGATATATTGTATTTTAATTAGTAGACGTTATCGAAGCGAGAATTGGCATTTAGAGGGCATAGAGAATCTATTAAATCTATTATAACAGAGTTAATTATATTGAACTTGCTTATTTATTAAGTGCGTTAGATAATCTATTAATTAAAAATACATTTAGAGAAGTCTACGGTTTTTACTGGCTTATCAAACAAACAAATACGAATGAACCCTAGACCATCACTGACTGATTGCCCCTGGAAGTCGGCTTGTTACAAAAACACAGCTTCCCTATCATCAAATGTCACGGCACGCCTCTGCTATAAACTTTATTAAATTATTTCTTGTTGCATAGCATGATAATCACGTTTGTTATCAAATCAAATCAAATCATTAATTAAAATACAAAATGAGTATAATATTACTATGCATACACTACTATGCATAATATACCATATAATATAATATACCATACCTAATCTACAATGTTGCATACATGTATTGGAATCATAATTTTGATCAAAACAGAATCCAAAATTTCAGATAGCAAAATTATATTTCCTAAAAGCAACAGAAAATTAATGGTCACACCTATTTCTGTCCAATGTATCTGTCCAATGTGAAAGCTTGACCACTTTATAACATGTTTAAACTCCCTAGATAACCTTGTTTAAACAATTTCATGACATTTTAAACTAGTTTGGCTGAACTAATACTGTTCATATTATGACTGAATATATATTATATTGACATACTATAGCCAATAAAATAGTTTAATGACTTAAACTTGTTTTATTCTCCTAGTGTAAACATA